CGATATGAATATGCACAAAAATAATTTTTGCAAATAGATGGTCTCACTAATTCAAAATTTGTTCTCTCCAATATATTTATACAGTTATACAGAGAATGTCAAATGAAAAACCCTCAGCAGATCTCATTAAGGTAACTATTTGTTTTACTTCATTGATTTATTAAAAATACCTGGAAAAGTTACCTATTTCTAGCAAGTAAAGAGTATTAATTTGAAGTTACACTGTTGATTTATATGTACTCCAAGATATTTATAAAGATTTTTTTTTTTAATAGATGACACAACATGATATAAATTTTGTAGCAGAATTCCTGAGAGACAACTTTAACCAGTTTACTTTGGTAAGAATGAATATAACTTTATAAAGACTTTTAAACAACTATTTTTGCATTCTGCTTACATTACTGGTAAACCAAAGGAAATTTTCAATACCTTTGATTGTTAAATTCAAGTTACCATTGCTGAAATTGACCTGATCAGAGAAAGATTCTGTACTTTGTAGACCAGCATCATCACTTCTTTTCACTTTATTGCTATCCTTCCCTGGTAATGTGAATTAAATATACAATCCTTTCACGATCGCACAGTTAGTTTCAATTTTATTACTGTTTACTTTAGGATGATGAGGATTCCATATCAGAGTTGATGGTGGACCGAGACAAAAAGCCGAGGTTTAAACTGGAGAAAGTGGGGCAGGTAACAGTGGACTTTTATGCTTTGAAAGAGTCTTTAGTAGATTGTAGCAACTTAAGGTGTACAGTATTTTGTATTTTAGTGTAGTATAGTAAGGCAACTATAAAATTCTTATATTGAATAGAATGTAAATTATTACATGCATATCTATAGCATCAGAGGTTATCAAAAGGTAGGCTGTTCAGTACTCCTCTACAATTTTGCAGTATTTAAAGAAGGAGGACCTCCACTACCCCGCTAACATCTCCAGCAACCCCTGGGTCCAGTTTCAGAGGGGGTGCTTCCTCCTGAAAGGTATACTACTGGCAGAATTAACCCCTCTTTCTCTTTATATACATATGCATAAAAATAGGGAAAGGCATTTGAATGATAAAAGTTCAGTACTATAGAAACATGATTAATCAAAGAAAAGAATAAAAAAGACCTATTTAAAAGAAAAACCTTTCTCTTGTATATACATGTATTTCACTACCAAGTTGCATGAAAAGCAACTGGGAAATACATGTGTAGTAGCTTCAGCATGATGATGATATCAGTGAGTCTTGAATTGATTTTGAATGATAGACATATCAGAAGCAGAGTTACATCCTCCCTTTGTATATTTGTGCTGTTTATTTCAGACAATGAGGTGCTGTATCCCGTACAGAACACTAAGTCCCTGGTCCAGTTACAGGAAACTCTAGACAGCTCCATCAATGCTGCCCTCTGTCAGCCTTCAGTGAGTAAAAACCTAACTTCATAGATACTGAATATTATTTATATTTTAAGGTTCATTGACCCGATGGTAAGGGAGATAAATTGAACTAGGAAAAAACTAAATTTAAACTAGTCATTTCTTAATACATGTACATTGTTTTACGAAAATTTTGTCATGCAATCTTAGTTTACACTTCATGTGTTAAACAACATCACACAAGAATGATATTTCAATGTTAATAGTTCCTTCATATGATAATAATGAAGTACATGTACAGTGTTCTATTGGTTGTGTGGTTTTCTTTCAGACAGTCATTGGTCAAGCCATGAGATGCCTTTCTTGTGTGAAGTTGTTTGACTGGTAAATATTAAAAAAATATCAAAAAATTAAATTTTGTTATCTTTAACACAGTGGAAAGCAGAAAAAACTGAGAGATGTTTAGGGATCTAAGATGTCAAGGTTAAAACTCATAAAGAAAAGGTGGTTGGGACTTCTGCCTCACTGACATATACACATTCTTAATATTCAAAATATTGAAGTTTTAAATACCTCAGTTGGACTGTATTTGTTAAATTATGAAAAACCTTACCCATTTAATTTTCATTATGTGTTATTAGAATGTACATTGACATTTTGAAATTATATTTATACTAAAACTTTTTTTTTCTTTTAAATAGTGATTCCAAAAATGCTGAATTTCCTGTCAAAGTTTTTCAGTAAGTATAAGAACATCACTTTATCAACCAGAAAAGAATAGTTTAACAATACTTGTTTTGTTTCTTGAGTATTTTAAATCATGATCCCCATAGATAGGGTTTTAGCAAAATTGGGGTATGTGGTTTTAGTATAAATAGGGATGTATTGGGCAATTTTCAAAAATCTAATAAAAACCTTATTACAGTTCATTAAACTTTGACATTGGTCAAGCCATGTCAGCAAAGTATCCTCAGGTAGTGTTGACTCAAATTTGTTTTTATGACAGCAGCCTGGGCAATAATAATTCACAGTATTAGGGATCCTAGAGAAAGGCAAACAAAGTAAACTTTAAAAATGTTCTTTCACAAAACAGCAGGGTCTTTTTAGACATAATCTAGTTTTCATTTGTAGGACACTCTATACTGTAGATTTGTATAATATACACATGTAGTGCAGTCCCTGGAGTCAGGATAGAGCCAAGGCAGGGTTACAAAGTACTAGTCTTCTTCAAGAAGAACAAGGCTATAAAGTTAAATGGTTGGAATTGTACCGGTATATGGCATTTTACTGAATTTAAGGTCTTAACACATTTTCACTTGAATCAGACAGAGCAGTTTGACTCAGGTGTCCACTTTGACCATTTGTCTCTTGTTTTTCCACTGGCTACAGCCTACCACCGAAGGCTATCAACAAAATCCCATCAGTATTTTTATTTGTTCATTTGGAAAAGAAATATGTTCCCAGTGTACTTTAGCTTTAAAATCTTAGAATACTTTAACCTATTCCTATTTAGATATGATTTAAAATAGATATGAATGTTAATGATTTACTTAGTATGTTAATTATTTTTAAAGCAGTTACCAGTATCTATGACAGTATGTGCCTCAAATGATTTAATAAAATTTTTATTATTTGTTGTTCAGATTTACAAATAATGAGAAAAGGAGACTGTACAGTGTGTACACACGTGATGTCTTGCCCTGTGAGGAATGTGTTCTGGTTAGAAGGTCTTCAACTTCCAGCAAGTAAGTTCAGTAGCTTTAATCTGTCAAAGAAGAAGTTTACTTCATGAAGCATTGAGCAGTAGGTAGAGCAGTGTCTGAAGCATAATGCTGTAAAAGAAGTAGATTGTATAAAGGTATTTTAAAAATGCCTGACTCTCTAAGGTGTAATACTGTAAATACTGTAAAATATGTAGACTGAGGTCTATGAAGTACTTGGTACAAAATGCATACATTTATTTCAAAAAATATACTGTAACAAAAAATTGAGACATAAATCAGCTCATACTTATATACTGTTGTTGATTGATATCTGGAGCAAAAAGCTGTCCGTTTTAGTGAGCTTGTGAATTGTGCCCCATGAGAGGTCAGCCTAATAAGTGGATTATTCTCCTTTTGAAGTCCTGAAGACTTGAATTTTTTAAAATTTTCTTTTACAGAATGCATAACATAATACATGTACATAATTATACATGTATATAGTTATAAACATGCTTATAATGAGCATGCTTAATTAAAATGACTTCATGCTTACAGTGAAGTTATTTTTATTCCCTTTTTAAAAAAATATTGTAAATTAAATGGATGTAAGAAATTATGTTTATAACAAGCCAACATTGTTTGTCCCTGGCCCTTTGCTATAGATGTTTTTTACTGTATATAAGTAGAAACACCATACATTAACTTGTTTAATTGTGATATCAGTACATGTATCAATATGTTCATACAGAGCTTACTGATTTTGACAGGGACAGTTGGATGGAGGCAGTTTCTATCAGAGTTGGTGCTTTAAGTCAGAGAGAACATAACAATACCAGCAGCTCATCAGAAGAGGAGGAAAGGTAAGTCTTATAATGGAGGAATGTCTGGTGCAGATGACTTCCTGGACTTATTCTAAGAGGTTGTCTGGGAAAACTAGTACTTGCTGGATCCCTGATAAAGGGAGGTTATTCTTAAGAAAATTTCAGGAATCCATTGGAAATATTGTGTAAAGATGGACATCTGTTATCAGTTATTTTCTTCCGCAAGCATTATAGGCAATTGTATTGCTGTAACAGTACATTGTATATGATCTTTGCCAGTCTTTTCATTCATTGTGGCAATGAATGAAGAAAAACAAAATGGAATAAAATATCAGATTCTGAAAGGTACTAAGAAAGTGCTACATACATCTCTGTTTACCTTGGTCAAGTACGGTATACAAATTAGAGTTATCTCTCTTGTCCTCCCTATCTTAAATCTGAATGCCACGAAGTATAGAAATTGTAAACTATATCTATGGATGCTGAAGAAAATATCACAGCACCGGACCCCGGTATCGTACAAAATATCTGTTTTAAAATCTAAATGTTACTACCTCATTGTAATGTACACTGCTTCCTTTAATTTGATTGAAATATTTTCATAACTGTGAGAGATATTTTGGGCTGAGATGAGCAGAAGATTAGACATGGATGAAAACAAGACTTCTCCTATCTACAGCATCATGGCTAATGTTCTACATGCTTTATTTCTTGATGCTATATGACATTTCTTTGTATGGTACATGTATTCTACAAGGCCTAGAATTATCAAACTTTGTCAGCTGATACATCTTGGTTAGACGGTGTGTCGTGCATTAAAAGTAGGTCGCTCTGACCTTTAATTAAGATGTTATGGCCAAATAGGGAAAAATCCCGTCCATCTCATAATTAGAATGTCATACTATGATCCGTTTTGAAGATGGGCTTATGAAAATAATTTAAAAAGCCACAGCAACGTGGAGTCTTGTGCCAGACTAGGATTTGTCCTACAGTCATACAGATGAATGATTTCTTTAATTTCCCTCCTGATACACATGAATTATGCTCTTCATTTAAAGATTTTTGAATTAGTAAATAACTAACATCCGGTTTTCCAAAATTAAACCAACATTCATCTTTCATAATTCTTTATTTATACTCAAATCACAACATAAAAGCATAACAAAAGTTTAATGTAGTTATAATCCACATCTACTCTTTGAAGAGCTTATTTCCTTGGTAAACGAAAAAAAAAGGCTTAAATCCCTCTCACTCTAAATGCACAAGAACTCTCATTCAAAATCACCTTGAATGTTAAGGGACATAGAGAAAAAAAAAAAATAATGCCCTCTGATTTTCTTGTTTTGAAAAAAAAATCTGCTGAAAAAATAGTCCATTAAAATGTTCAGACACTACAAAAAATGTGCTAGTCTTTTCAAAGCATTACATCATTAAATATTTCTGCTCTAGTGAGCAGACATTTTGAAAGGTAAAGAAGTGGATTGACAAGACATTTGCATAAAAATATTGGAATGCAGTCTAAATGCAGTTTGCATAATCCAGGCAGGTGTTGTTAGTGGTAAAGACTTTGGCTCCCTAGCATTAAGTCACTTCTTTTTCAATTTATCGCATTTCCTATCAATCATTATTTTAATTACGCAATGGCACCCAGTACAGATTATAATGTATCACAATGGAAACATTTTATCTAAATCAGAATTAGGATTGTATTACTGGCCAATAAAATTGTCACAGGACTCTGTTCAGAGCAAGCAATGATAATGTAATCAAATATATTCTTTTTTTTAATGAGCTTATATGCATAGTGTCAATGATACGGTTATTTGCCATACAATGAATTCGGAGAAGAGTCTAGTTTGTGCATGATATAACAACTGAGAAATGTAGCTAAAAGTCCATTTGTAAACTGAGAGAGGATTATACAACATTAATACTCTATTTCTCACATTATTTTTTCCCTTCACATTTTGACACATTCCAACTTTTTTTGCCTTTAAAGTTTTTTTTTTACCAGACAAAAATATGACAAAAAGTATAATTAAAGAACTGATGGAAAGGAATGCATTTAAACTTTTAGAATCAAGAGGCAATTTTGATATTTCCAGTTTCAAATACATGTACATACAGATGCCATACTGTCCTCAATACTTGATGTATCATGAATTACAGAGATTACAAAGCACTATGTAATTATAAAAAAAATCACGAAAAATATACACTGTCTCATCATTAAACTGATGATGATTTAAATGCAATTAACAAGTGCATAAATACTAATATAATAAAAGAAAAAGAAGAAATAAGACCATCATAATGATAAGAAAAAGGACTAAGAGTAAAAATTATGAATTATTCCTTAATTCAAAACATTCACAGCTTCCCAGACAACACTTGACTAGCCAGTTAATGCTAGATACTGAATTAAAACAAAAGAATTAATTGTCACCAGTCATCACATAACTTAGAACAATATGTCCATAATAACAAAATCAAACATAAGAAAATGCAATTCAAGTACATTATCTACACTAAGGAGTTTCTATTGATGATTTTAATAAAATGCCTTAGGATTGAATGAAGGAACATGAGTTCATGGTAAATGATTTCAATCCGATATTATGTTAAGCTTTCATCTATTCCAGTGATGATGTTGACATTTAAGTCAGAGATAGCTGCATTAGATTACCCTTGAGTCTGTTTATGAATTAGACTTTATAAAGGGGAGCTTGGCTAGACACTGTCCTGGTTAAAAGGTTGATGACTAGAGAGTAGCACCATTACAGTCATGTTGGATGGACATTTTGTTACTTGAGCTTTCCCTTTTCTTTTAAAACAAGTCCTCTGTGTTTGGCATGACGTAAATGTCCATTACTGAGAAAATACTTTTTCAGAAACTTTCTTCTGTATGAAGGGTTATGTAACAACTGATCAGTTGTCTGTTTCTGTGTGTCTTTATTGTTTAAATGAAGAACAGAACTGGGATTTTTCAACTGTAGGGCAGTTTGGGATATTGTTTTTGATTGGCTGCCCACTTTTGCTTCCGATTGGCTGGATATCTCAGAGGCTTTTGAATGGATGGTTTTCATTGGTTGATGAGACTGGTTGTGTCTATGGTGCTTATGGTGGTTTACAGTTATTGTTGGTGGCTCCAATGAACCACTGCAGTTGGAATCTGAGAAAAAAAGCAAAATTAATTATACAGTGAAGAAAAACACAAAAGTATAATGAAAAGTTCTTTGCACATATTTATTTAACAACTTTAATATTTTATCCACCTAGTCTCGTTCAACCAGTTCAACCAGACACTCGGCTGTCTCTGCTGGTTGGAAATTTATGGGGACAGCGGAGCGTTTGAACAAGACTATTATCCACCATGTTTCACCATGCTAAAATAGTCCAGTTAAAGACCTTTATTTTATCTCATCAGCTGTTGGTTTTCAAAGGATAACAAAAAATAGGTTTGTGTGATAAATCAATTTTGATTTTATGAACACTAAAAAAATTTTAGGACATGCTTGCATAAAGTTACAGTGGTTTGTTTGCCTTGCCTTTCAAATTTGACTGTAATTCAATAATTGGAGAAGTAGCAGATGTTGCTTGTCATACTTTCTGACATGACCTCTTTGTTGATTGAAAATAAAATCGGATGTTTTTTTGGCAGACTTGGTGTCTTTTATGGTTAAAACACAGATTTATAGCAGGCTATTTAAACTTCACTTTGTGATTATAACTTCATTCATCTCCATTACACACTTCAAGAACTTCCCAAAAGCGAGAGTTTATGAACATGCACTAGAATTTATTTACATTTATTGTCTATTTTACAACTTCCCTTTAGTTCAGCTGAAAGTGGCGACAGGAGTTTTCCTTATGAAAATAAGTCTATATATTTAATGACGTTTTAAAGATTCTTGATTTATTACTTTTTTCAAATTAAAACCCCTACCTGGTGATTCCCAGAATTCCACAGTAATTAATGAATGCATTGCAATCCAGTCTTTTGATTGGAAGAATTTATTACAATCCCACAATGCAACATGTCCAACAGGCAGATTAGAATGCTGTGTATAGGTAATCACTCTGAGAATGCCCTGTTTTCCCCAGAAGTTTTTCTTGGTGTGGACAGGGTCCATTTGATGCAGTTTGGAGACGCTAGGGTACCCATACTTATCGGCAAGGAAAGGGCCATAGGCTATAGGGTGGTAGATATACTGGAGGCCATCTCTACCGACCACGCTGTCCTCTCCAAACTTTGACAGTCTGATGAGGGTTTTCCCGAGGGAGTGAACCCCGCCGATCTTATTTAGGGCGTAGGACAGTCGGAGGGCACTCGTATCGTGCAGGAGTTTGTCTGAGCGACAGCCGATCACCTGGACAAGATGGTGGTTCCTGAATTTGCCGCCATGGTGTTTGTAACCCGGGTAACTGGCGCGAAGTTGTTGAAAGTTTGGTAGCACAACCTGATAAAAGAAACGGTATAAACATTAGAATTGTAATGTATTGTAGCGTACAAGTAAAAGTATGGTCTGTTAATAAAAATAGTTATGCTCTTGGCTATAGGCCTAGTAGACATTAACGTATGGTTATACAGTTGAACCTAAGCATCTCGCACATCAGTATCTCGAATACCATTTGTATGTCAGATGACAGTCTAACTATAAAAACTATTTTTTTCTTTCTGTATCTGTAATCCTCGGATACATGTATCTCAGAAATTCTTTAAAACTTAGTTCATAATTAAATTATTATTTAATGAAAATGATAACTTTATTTTATATTTTTTTTTTTACATTGGAAACTCATAACTGGTTTTAAGGTTTAAGGTTGCATCAAGGATATTTTCCCACAAGTAGAGCCACTCCTATCAGTGTAATCGCGCGGTTAGTGCCAAAATATCCCGGGCTTCTCAAAACATCACGTACAGTTGACTTGATGAGAAATATTAAAGACAGGATCTTTTAAAACAGCTCAATTATTAAAGACTGCCAAAAATTTATTGAATATCTATCTTATCTGGACTTACATCAATATTATTGGTATAAATGTGTCCCATGGGGCGTTTCGTCCTGGGGTTGAATTACAGTGCCACGCGTGCCCAAGTAACAATAGATTTATGTAGATGGCCATATAATTCCCGTCCAAAATCGTGGTAAAGGAGGGTAATTAAGAATGATTAATAAATATTTAATTAACAACGGATATTTGTCTTGTTTATCTTTACATACATTTATACAGGTAAAGAAATGTTTTTCTGTTACCTTGCCAAATACATTTTTGATCGTTCAGATGTAAAATTTATATTTTTCTTAATACAAAGATCAAATGATTATTATATAAAAGACATCTATTCATGCAAGTGAAATATGTTCTACCCCAAGAAATTTGTAAAGCTCAGATTTTTATTCCCTCTGAAGCCTAATCCAACAATTATACTTTACAGCAGGATTTACATTAATATATGTGTTGGTCTCCGGCACAAACAACAAAGGCGTGTGTGGTTTTGATTATCACCCTTAATGTGTTTGAAGTGTATTGTAATGATCGATATCCCTCCTTTTGATAGATTTACAACAACATTTTTGATGTTTCACTTTTTAATCTTTGTAAAATATTTAAGGTAATACTTAAAATGTAAGCTTATTCCCCGTCAAGCGTAAGCACAAAATATTTCCAGATTTCTAAATATGGACTGGGTCATTATTTTTTGTAATAGGTTAAAACGACGGTGATCAAATGAAGATTTTTTTCTGCGGGATACCCGATTAAAAATGAGCCTTAACGGTTAGTCCATGCAAATGAGCTTGGCTTAATTCGGATCTAATGGAACGGAACTTCAAACACCCTGTATATCTTCTGTAAAATTGTAAGATTTTACGAGAGGTTTCGGCAGATTAAGGTGATTTATTCTTAAGAAATGCTAATTCAATCTCGATTATCTCTTTACCCGACTCACAGGATTTTAACGAGCGATGTATATCGCTCCACTCGGACTCAAACTTCGGTAAAATGACCATTTAAAAGCCGTGATATTATTATTGCAATCGGATACAGAGCTTCGAGATATGATCTGCTGTTGCAAAAATGGAAAACTCCTAGATAAACACGGGACAATAGGATGGGGACTATTGGTTAAACCAACAAATGACTTGTGTCTACACGGCCATCTGCCGCGAAGTTGTGTGTGGACCTTAGCAGGCTTCCACAATCCACCGGCCGATTATCCCCTAAATAAATATTAAGGTCTCTTCACATTTCTTATCACCAGTCAAGCTTGTTCATTAGAAAGTAATTAGTTTGGAAAGATTTGTACTTCCGATACGAAGTTAAATATTACCGCGATCTGTTGTCGTTTGTAAATATCGCGAGCGCTCTCTTCTCGATACCCGCGTTACACCGGGGTATCTTTTACAGTTGGAAAAAATGCAGTTCATCGCAGCAGAGAAACTCGGAAATATTTCTGAAAAGATTTGTCAAATTAATTTATTGCAGCTGCAAAGTGTCAGCATTTGTAAGCGATTAGAAATATTTAAACAAAATGTTTTTTGTCTGCGATGGCGAGTAATATCTAACTCAAATTCCATGTTAACCAAGAAAATAAAGTCTATTAACTTCTCTTACCGGCGCTATCAAACCAAAATCGTGTATAAACAACTTTCTATAGAGAGTTTATGAGAAGTTTTCAGAGGGGGCAGTTTTTGGATTTGTCTTTGAAGTCAGCTATTTGGTTGATAAACAGATTCTGTGTCAAACCTCTTGATTTTTTTTAACGGAGAAAATGAATGCGGACATTGTAAACAAAAATCACCCGAGTCGAAAAGATCTTCAAATGTCGACAAAAAGAGAATACGCGTCATGGGGTATAAAAAACTGAGAAAAATCAAGGGCAATTAATATAATATTGAAAAACGGGACCTATATATCCTAATGTCTGAATGAGTGTGAAAATGAAGAAAATGTACTAAAGTTGTGAAATTGTGTAAGGGAAATGGTTTTAAACTAAGGTCATGGTGGTACATGCACTTGAAGTAAGGTTTGTTTACAGAAGCTGTTCACTTTGTTGACAAAATATGTTGAATCAAGATTTGCTATCTGAACAAGAGACAGAGACGGGATATCTACATCAAATGAAGCCACGCTGCACAGACTCCGCGAACCCTTAAAGATAATTCAAAAGATAACAACTTGATAAATTTCATAAAAATAGCCCAGAAGTGTGGCGGATTTGTGAGATGATAATATCGACATCAGATCTCTGCGGGCAGTTTGGGGAGGAAATGCGCACCAAATCCTATGTTGACAAAGTATGACAAAGTAAAGAATATTGGAAGCAGAACCAAGGTGTCTCTGCATGCACGGAGGCATGTGCTGTTGTTCAAACGCTATCTCAGTGGGCCAAGATTACGACAAGCATTCGAGGAACGCCACCACAGGGAAGGGAGTCATGGGTCTGCCATCTTTTTTTAATTTCATTTATCTGTAGATAAATCCCCAAAGAGTCATTTGAAATCCTTTTTCACGAGGATCAGAAGAGATTACACCTAGCTGCACCCGCATTTAAAATTCTTGTTTGTCTAAAAACGTTCCTTTCTTTGTGAGATTACCATACTGTCTTGTTTCCCCCCTTTTCACTTTCTCTGATATTGATAACCGTATTTACATTTTTATAGGGTGCTTCATTAAGATAGACATATTTTTGGCAATAACGAGTCAATATGAATGGAGGACATTCCTACATTCCTCTTTAAAGTACCTCGTTCTAAACTCCCTATTTTTACCCCACTCTTACATGGCTGGTACCTGGCTTTTCAATATGAGTTAATTAGTCGAGGAGTCAACCCTTCAATGTTGACATAGCTCTCTATTCGGAGATCATTGTGGTGTCGATGTCTTTGCCTATTCTGTTTACAATCGCTGAGGATCCCCTATAAGTTGACCGTTAACTTTGGGTCCTAAAACTTGATCAGGTCATCGCAGTTATATTATTGTTCTGTGTATATATTTACACGGCAGGTGTGTAAAATTATAACCAATCAGTGCTCCTTTCTAAAAACAAAGACCCCATTTTTTAACTGTACTTGGTTAGAAACGAAGAAAAAATATTAAGAACCTTCTAATGTCTTTCGATTCACATAACCAGTGTTTTGAAACAAAACCACAAGCATTCCAGTTACATCCTTTGTAAAGTTAATTTATTATCCTTATAATCTACTTAATAAGTGCTAATTAAAAAGGGAAGTCAATATTTAAGGTTACCTTATTTAGCCTCTTGAACTTGTACACAAATATATACTAGTATATTATTCAAACCCGAAAGCAAATATGCGATTTACCGGTATTTATAACCGTTCTCAAAAACCGCAAGCCACATTTAATATAACGTTACCCTACTCTTTTCTTTGACCTTGCACTATAAAAATTAAATGTTATTATGGCGGCGATAAAGATCATAATGAAAGGGTTTTAAAAATCCTTTCCCAATCTGATTCATTAAGCTTCGTTTTATAATGAATTTTTTTCTTGTCAATTGGATTATTAAAATGCATTACAAGTATTTACTCGTGCAATTTTGAGCGATTGAAAAAAGGTAGATTTCTAAATACTGTGCGTTATTATTTAGAGTTTAATTCAAGGAGAAAAGGCTTTTCCTTAATTTTCATTGATTTGCTAGTTTGTTATGGAGTTTTGCTCTCAAATTGTATTGTTGATGTATTAAAAGTGAAATATTTGAAGATTTACTTTCAAGTTGATGCATTTTTTCTGACCAAACAAACATGTATCTTAAAATTCTCTCAACTATTTTCTTGTTCTCCGGAATAGAAAAGATCAGTATACGGGGACCCAAAACAGGCAAATTATTCATTGTATACGAGTAACAAGTTGTAATTTACACGGCCATATAAAACATTTAACCTACTAAATCTGGAGGTTATGGGAAAAATGTGTAAGCCCCTCGTGAGAGCTTTGTACGACCGAACCACATGGTCTTTTTATACGTGGTACTTTATCTTGCAATTTGGAGAAGTCCATGCAACGTATTGCCTCGCTGTAGAGCGTAAATGTACACGGTATTGTCACCCCAGATTTATTTGTAAGAGTATAGTTCGGTGATTTAAGCTTAGACAGCCTCTGGTATCTTCTTTTAATTATGTAGATATGATCTTTTGTGGCGAAATATTGCACTTTGAATTTTAATTCAGTCGTGCACTAAACCAAAAAGTTAATACATTTAGTCTTTTCAAAATGTATGATATGTCTGAAGCCAAGCATGACATTGCATTACCAAGGCTTGTGGAAAAATGTATATTTACGTCCTACTATAAAAGTTTGAAGAAAAAGACAAAAAATTTCCCTCCAAGCAAATTTTATTTGAATCTTCTCAGTATTGGTCATTCAAACTTCAATATTTTTACAAGGCAAGGAAAATGGGAAAATAGGATATCTACGAAAAAGACCAAATTGGTCACATCAATTCAAGGCGATGCCCCCTTTTAAGAAAACAATTGCATTAAACGCTTTTCGTGTTATCAGGGAATCTTCCCACCCAGTAGGGAGGGATAAGTTTACAAACATTGCTCCACGGTTTTTGTCATGAAACTGGTCTTACGTAATCGTTGTTTTACAATTAAAGGTAAAAAAAAATCGTGCCGGGAAAATATTTATTTGTATTTCTCAGTGCATGTGAGCAATGAACTAGAGCAATTAAAATCAGATTTTGTTAGGGAGAGAAGGTTGACATAATGTGAATTCTTTTTTTGAGCAAACAGTAATATTTCAATCAAACATTTTCATTCTATAAAAACGTGTCACGTTTATAGTTGAGCAGTAAAAATTTTTGGCCAGATTTTAAATTTAACTATAAGAAATCGATGCATATTTGTTAACAACATTTGTAGAATTTAATATAACAACAACGAGGTTTTAATATTTTTAGTCATGTGGTTCTAAAATCCCTTACCTTATTAGCAATAACACACAACCACAGGTTAATTAAGAACACCAAGATTTGCTGTTTTGGTCCCATGTCTCTTTTTCACGGCATGGTCGTTTTACTGTCCAGTTTTTAAAACAATGAAAGTCCGTTAAAACAAAAGATCCTAATATTCTCCACCTGTTACATCATTGAGGGTTTCCTGTGTAAGTGTGTCAATTGGTCCACGATAACCAAGATAGAAGAAAAGTCCACTGCCAACCGTCACATTCAGCTTGTCCTATTTAAATATTAAAATCCATGTAGAGAGTTTAGATAGGAAGAAGACGGCCCCGCGACAACACTGATAAATGTATGCCGTGCCGATTACCTGGCAAAGCGATTTTTTTTTCAGACCTTCAAAATCTCTAATACCTCTTTTCCTGTATACGAAAACAAGGTCTAAAACTTTAAATGTACGGGCTGTTCATTTAAATTAGCAAGGTATGAATGAGATCTTAGTGGATGCGTTTTGAATCGATAGCGTTTGGGGGGTTTTGAAAAGGCACACTATCGCGTATCTGGGGGCGCGGCCTTTTTATGCAAAAACCCTCAAAACGGAATCGTTAATTTCTTTAATAACTCCTGTGATATTGGTAAGCTACAGAAAAATACTGTTACGCATGACTGGCAATTTTTTAGTAATTGTTATCCATGATAAAAAGATTTAAGAAACGGTTATGCATTGAATAGAAAAGATTTTTTAAAAAACTGTTAGCATGATAAAAAGAATCTGACAACATTTTACTTATAATAATCATCATAAATCATTAATGATTTAATTTTTTTTATTTTTAATCTGCAGTAGGTGAAGCTTTGGGATATGAAAAACCAATTGTCTTCCGAGCCTCATCAGCTCTTGCGATACATTGAAATATTTTTTGCCCCCACAATTTGTCATTAAGTGAGGGCTCGGGGGAATCCACCTCAAGCTCCGATGACAAACTATTAAATCTTATCATTATATAGATGGAGGATTTTGATGGATGACTATTATGCTGTCAGTTGTTTGTAACACGGGAGAGTTAACGACAAACGGACGGAATGTATTAAATAAAATTACCTGTTATCATTACAATACAGCGCATCTGTCAGGAGATCCCTGCCATTACGACTTCGTAATTTAATTGTTAACCGTTATTGAATATTTATTGTGTATAAGGTTTAGTTTATTACACATTAGATTGGTTAATGAAATACAGAAGTCAATGTGTTTGACAAACATTTTTCGCACACTGATTGTTTACAAATCACAAATGAGTCCCAGCATAAAATACATTCTATACAAACTGAAAAAAACATGTCACATGACCGCTACATCCTAACTCTGGTGGGATATAGGGTTATTAGAACATTAATTATCCAACAGAAGGCTAGAACTGTAAATAATTGTTTTATTGTCCACCTTTTACATCAGTTGGCGGTATACATTTGGTTAACCGATTTTATTACTTCATATGCGAGATATAAAGAAAACGAAAATTAAAGCTTTGTTTGGCCATATCACATGACCTCAAAAAAGTTTTAATATTCACAAATTCTAAATTGTACAGACGTTTTTAGAAATAAAGGTCCTGTCTTTCTTTAATTTATAGACTGTTGTATTTTTTTTTAAACGAAGAAGGCACTGAAAAAGACCATCTTCGCTTGATTCGTTAGGGTGAGGGTAAACGAATCGGACACTTGGCTAACGAAGATGCAAAAAAGACTGGATATTGAATAAACTTTGTTAGTCTTGTGTGTTTGTTCTGTAGCTTTATATGCTTATTCTTAAAAATGTTTAGAGCATAATTTCTATGAAATTTAATGATCATACTGGAAATAAAATAAATTTTACATATATCTTTAATGTAGTCTACGCATGTATTTTGACGTATCTATTATTATTGAGATAAAATTCAAATTGGTTCAGGTCATATGGTCTCCAACAACTTTTTTTGGAGGGAAGGGATACAGCCTTTCCAGATGTAACTTTACCGATGTCCTTAGCTGACCAGTTGTTTGCGGTCACTATAAACTGTTTCCGTGCATTTGTTCGATCTAGATTCTAGCCTTCTGCCCTCTGACCAGAGGTAACCGGCCATTTGGCTTCATCCGAAGCTGATCAGCTCTTAATCATGTAAATTTCAGAAACAGGAATTAGTTTCTCTTTGTCCTGGACTGACCAGCTATCGGTGATTGACTGTTAGTGTCCTGGAATGACCACAGGATAGATCTACAATGTCCGGTCATGACTTTTTTTAACACACTGTATTATCATACTGGCCGTATTAAGGACACCTGTTTCAGTTAACAATGAAAGTTAATTAATTCGTTAACAATGTCCTTATCTGACCAGGGCTTTAATGCATAGAGGATAAGCTCTGTTCTGCAGCTGTTGCACACAGGATAGTTTTATACGCTTTAAACTGCATTAGAAAATTTGAATCAAAATCCGCAAAAGTTGCAGAATAGGATAGAATAGGGTAGAAAAGAATTTATCGATAAATCAGGACCTAAAGTGGACATAGCATTATATTCACTTTGTGAATAAATTTTTTGTATAAAAAAAAAATAACATTATACCAAGCAATGCAAAATGAAGATTTATTATTTGAGTCTATAATAAGTAATACATTGATTATATTTGTTCTATGGGAAAGCAAATGGAACCCCAGACACTTTTTTTCTGAAATGAAAGTCTTCCTCGATAGTATATATAAAAGAAAAGGTGTCTTTGATTGGAGTTCTGAGAAGAAAGCTTAAAACCAATTTATAAATCAAATAAATTTATTAAATGATATATTTTTAAAAAATCAAAAACAACTAATTTAGAAAGGTAAGTTCGTTAAGAAAAAAGAAGAATGCACTTGTCATATTATCAAAGGTTTGTATGTGTATGTGTATGTTAGTAATTAGAGTCTGTTTTGAAAGATAATGTTTTCCCAAAGACACCGACAAGTTGATGAAATGCCAGTAATATTGACTTATTTTTCAGCAGCCTGCTTCGCATTTAAAATCAATCGTACTCGGAGTATGTTCTAGAGTAATAAATAAGTTGGGAGTCATATAGAGCCATATTCAGGGGACACTACATGAAAAAGTTGACGATGGAGAAACTGAAGTCATTTCTTTTTTCTTTACAATTTCTTTCTCCTTTTTTTTTTAATATAGATCTAGTATATAGTCAGTAAAACACCAAAATCCGAATCATGTAGGATTTTAACCATTTGGTACAAAAAAAGAGCCCTTTAAAAACCAATAGGATATTCTTTTGACATGTTTGTGAAAATTTTGAAATTTTAGATAAAATAATCACGACCAATAGTTCGGTGGTAAATTAAAAAAAACTGCTTTTCTTTCACATGTTGCTCTAATGAAGACACATTGACATTCATCAGTATAGTCTTTATATTAATAATGTTGCTTTTCCAAATCATAAGAAGAAGACATACCATTAATCTGTGATTTCGGGACAGTTACCGTCATCTCTATTAATCAGACTTTGAACATGTCCAAAAATGCTATTTTTCATGAGGGGCATGCCATGGTAACCATGATACGTAGCAACAATGATACGAGTTTATGGTATAAGACACCTTTGAATATATTTAGTGACTGAATGTGTGTGTTTCACAGTTCCAACATAAAATGTTGTTACAGAGAATATTTCTTAAGTGTTTATTAATGAATCTTTCTTTCCGTTGCAATGTCATCTTGTTCTATTTAGTTCGAAGGTGGTCTGGTGTATTCTGTTGATTTTAAAGGTCTTTAGGAAATTTCAAGGACAAATTAATAGTTGCCTCTTTGGAGATTTAATATTTTGACATTCCTTATCTCATGAAAAGGAATGTCAAAATATTTTATTAAATCTTCTTTTTAAAAAAAATGCCCCACTGCGTTCAAAACGATATTTTTTTATGATATCTAAATGTATAAAGACGAAAATATTTGGTCTCTTTGAAATGCATAGTATGGTAAAATCGGTCATTGAACAAGGAAATTTAACCGCGTTTCATTAAACTTGTTATTCTTTTCAACAAATTGATTTTGTTAAAAAAAAAACATGACACGTTGATCGATCTATCTTATAAAAGAAAATAATTCAAATGTCGTTAAACGTTTTACAAATTTCTAATAACTTTAGAGGATGATTGGTTCAAAGTCCCTCAAAACACTGTTTATAAATTTCTCTACGGGACACCCAAATGATGTAGTGCATCCTTTTATCATTTTCAAACTAGCTGCTTTATATTATTTCAAGTAGCCCTATAAAGATGTCTAATTTATTGGCCAATCTGCATCTAGTACTCTGCATTCTCCACAATTAATGGAATACCTTCGCACTATCATTCCTCCCATTTATTTCTCATCCATCACTGCCTCTAACAATGGGAAGCCTTCCAGAGCCCTGTCTTCTGCTTCTAACGTAGGGGATCTTCGGCCTGGGGTCACGTGACCTCTGGCCAGTCCAGCTGACCTGGCCGGAGAGGTCATGTGATGGGTCACTCCTCGCCGTGCACGCTTTGTTACTGAGTACCACACAGCTGAGGGGTAAGATATAAAAAGTCACATCCCATTGTTGTCGAAATTAAAGGATGAGTTTTTGTCTCCGACTGAAAGCTGTCATTGGTTTTTGCTGTACAATGCGGCTGCACTGCTACCGGCCAGGAAATTGATAGGTTTTGCCAAATGCCAGTGTCAAGGGTCTTATGTTTTTATTAAAACCAACTGGTATTAATCTCCAAAATTGACTCATAAGTAGCCAAAAGGAGGGTGTAAAAATGTTCACTACATGCGAACGGTAGTAAAAATACTTTTAACTACCTTTCATCTTACGCCCAGTCAAAGAAAAACGGCACTCTAAATGATAACATTTTTGAACTTTTGGAAATAAAACTGCTGCGTTCCCTGTTTTTACGATCTGACCAAAGTGTAAGGGAAGATTTACCCGGTGTATACTTGTCAGTGGTATTTTTATAGGTGGTCAACAACAGAAAAAAATTCACATTCCATATTCGCTGCACTTCAATGCAAATCATCATGATTTAGGTACTAGAACATGTATTAAGAAATATAGAATTTATATAATTTCATTCACATTGCTAATATTAATTGCTATCTTGAATCTTTCTTGTACCACCAGAAGAAGGCATGAACGATTTGCCATCAGTCCATTTACGATATATAAGGAAATGTACCTGTTGTGTCTGTGAAATTGTGAACATGTCACAATGAAATGTTCGTTGCTCCTCATGAAAATTGTTACAATTTTACATCGAAAAGAAAAGTTCACATTTTAACAGTGCTGTACACATGTATATGATTTTTAAATGGAAGCCTTAATAAAAATATTGAATTTATCAAGATTAAGAGAAAAGAAGAAAACTTGAATCAGTTTATAGTTATAAAAATAAAAAGACCTAAATAACTAGATATCGATGTGTAAAATATTCTAGGCCTATTAATAAATAATT